ATCCATGCCCAGCGGAAACACACATAAAACCATTCTGAAAGGGCAAAACAATTTGTGGGGTAAATTTTAATTACTTATTTCTCAAATTTATACCTACCATAGACTTTTGAATACTTACAGTGGCTAAGAACATAAGCTAAAAGTCATCCTATACAACAGTGATGGCGAACCTTTTAGAGACCGAGTGCCCAAAAACTGACCCCGCCCTCGCTCCACCCCCCTGCCCTCCCATCCCCCACCCCGCCTGCCCACAGAACGGCAGATCGCCCAGGCAGCCCAGCAGCGCTATGGTGGCCACACCCTCTGCCCGCGCCCTGCAGCATCAACTGCATGATGGTGTGTGAGGGCAGAGTCTTGTCTATGCTGCCTGGCTGCCATGTCCTTGGCTGTGTTGCGCCGTGCGGGCCACACTCGAGGGTGACTCTCCTTCAGGGGGGCTGCTGGAGAGGAGGGGGTCACGGGGGGAGGCAAGGCTGGGGCAATGGCACGTGTGCCCACAGAGAGGTCTCTGAGTGCTGCCTCTGGCACCCATGCCATAGGTTCCCCACCACTGCTGTACAATATCCATGTCAAAAGTTTAAAACATACACATAAAAACAACCCATCCACTAAATATCAATGAAACACTGGGGTCCTATCACTCACCACACATTTTAGCACACGTTTCTCAGAAAGACAATATATTTAGCGAACCGATCCTGAAGATTTTCCTCCTGGGGGAAGCTTACCTCTTTTAGTGGCATTGACACTAAGCCTGTTTATATCATAATTTCAAAACAAGCCATGAATGACTCAGTTATAATTTCTATTTTCTAAAAAAGCAATTACAATGATTCAGCAATAGCCTGCGAGGAACAAAAGGAAATGCTTTCCCCTCCCAATCAAATAGCTTTCTATTCCTGGGCCGTTCCCTGGTCTTGTCTTAAAGGGTTACCCACCCATCCTTGAGTCAGCAGAAAGCCATCTTGGCAGGCAGTGTGATTGCCTTGTCCTAGGGTTTCGCTTCATCCCCTTTCAGTATGCCATCAGCCAGTGAGAAAAACATCACCGTTGCAACAACAATGGCAATTTCAAAAGCCTAGGGCAGGGGTAGGCAACCTTGGCTCTTTTATGACTCGTGGATTTCAACTCCTGGCTCAGGAATTCTGGGAGTTGAAGTCCACGAGTCATAAAAGAGCCAAGGTTGACTACCCCTGGCCTAGGGTTATTTCAGCTACAAATGCCGATTCACTGGGTGGAAGAACAGGCATTGTATCTCAACATGAGCTTTACTTGAAGCAAGGATGTTCACTGGGGGGGTCAAAAAAGTCAAGATGGCAACCAAAGTTGGCCATGCCTTCTTTACTGCACTCATTTAGGGTTGTTCCTATAAGGATAAAATATATTTATCTCCTTCTATTAAATCTCTTATCTGCTTTGATGCTTCACAGTAAGTGGGGGAGAATACAACCTAGGTCAATTTGGGCAAATTATAAATCCAATGATCAAATGTTTGTTCCACCCTTATTTTGTTCCCATTAACAGTTATTTTAGGCAGCTGAGGATCTTGAGAAATGCAGTAGAAAGGAGGAAGTATCAAACTCAATGGAAATGGAACATAAAAAAAAAGAGAAGGAGAAAAAAAAATTGTAGAAATAAACTGATAGCAGTGATGGCTTGGAGTGGAGCTGCAATCACTGCCTGAAAACGGAATTTATACCTTGGATCTACTCCTGAATAGCAATTGTAGTCAAGGTCTTGTCTCCACCAGTGACTTATAATAATTTTCAGTGCCTTCATGCCATTACAATGCCACCATTGAATTGCTATAAAACATGTCCACATTGCTGTCTTTTGGCACAATTTTAATTGGATAACTTTAAAAGATGCCGTAACTTCCTGGTGAAGAAATGAAATTTAGACGGGGAAGCTCCAAGTGCCTCTTCGGGATAGGAGGAATTTGTCATCCACGCTCTGCTAACTTCCAGATTAAAGTGCTGCATTGAACTCTACCCAGAAGGTAACCCAAACTATTTCAAATGAATGATGTGGCATCTATTGCAGAGCCTGCTGCTTCGGCTTCCGCTTCTCTTTTCCATGTGATATCTTTGCAGGGGATGAGCAAGGCCAAAAAGAAAAGAGTGCTTCTAACCATATATACAAAATGCCTTCAAATGTGATTTTTGTGCTTTGCATACACTGAACCAAATATTCCTGGCACTTACTTGCCAAGCAACTTTTATCATTAAAGCTGATCATTCCAAGCTGATTTGTGTGACTGTGTACAAACAAAACTAAAAGTAGGTGACAATGGCAGTCCAGCACTATGGAACATGCTCTCCGTGACCGTTCCCCCTTTCCCGATGTCCTTTGCTACATTCACACATCAAAACCAGAGACAAAGATATTCTAAGTGACCTGTGACCAAACTCTTTAATAAATTATTAAATACACGATTGGGAAATGTTAGCTAAGTGCGTGCGTGAGAGAGGCTCTAGGCAGCTTACAATAAAATAGATAAGACGTAAAAATATAATACAAAAAGAAATTGCATGCAAGCATCATGTAAACAACTGTCAGCAAAGCCAAAGCTCCTTCATATACCCAGGGCCCAGGACAAGCACAAACCCAAGTTTTCAAGGTCCTGTAAAAGGCCAGCAGTCAGGGTTAGACCGATCTTGGGAGGGAATGATGTTCCAAAGGCAGGGACACATGGCAGAAAAGGATTTCCTTCTGGATCCCATCAGCTGACAGTCTTTAGCCCAGGGATGTTCAACCTTGGCAATGTTAAGACTTGTGGACTTCAACTCCCAGAATTCCCCAGCCAACCATGCTGGGAGTTAAAGTTGATAACTCTTAAAGTTGTCACGGTTGGATACCCCTGCCTTAGCTGATAGGTCCTAGTTATGCCCCTCTTGCTAGGGCCAGAGAAGATGAGTAAACACAACTGGGGAGAGACAATCTTGTAAATAACACTGTCCTAAGCCATGAAGGGCTTTAAAAGTAACGAATTGCACCCAGATCCACACAGGAACCCAATGCAGCTTAGGGAAGCAGCAATGCCACACACACACCAATGCCATTAACTGCTTGCATTGCTGTATTCTGCACCAGCTGAAGCTTCCAAACGCTCTTCAAGAGTAGCCCCATGCAATACATACTGCAATACTCCAGTCTGGAGTCACAAGTCCCCAAGCCAGCAACAGGCACAGCTGATGCACAACCCAAAAGTGTGCAAAAGTCATCATAAACGTGGATGCCATCTTCCTCCAGCAGGAGCCATGAGTCTGGGATGACCTCCGGATTTCACATCAGGACAGTTTGGGGCAATATTTCCTCATCCAGAACAAAAGATGGAAGGAAAGTCCCAAGAACCAGGAGATCCAACATTCAAAGCCACTCAGGCTGGCTTGGATTGAACCAAAGCCTGATGCACCCGATCCAGAATCCCACAGCCTCCACTATGGACCCACTCCATATTTTTTGAACATACCACTCCAGAGTGTAACTGAGACTTAATGCAGTCCTTGGCCTAGTGAAAGTTGACAGCCCAAACCAAAAGGAGGACCATTTCTGATCAGGATGCATGCTCTAGTCTAGCTAACCAACCTAGTGTTGCTTATGTCAGCCAGAATCACATCAGTGATGAAGAAAATATTACTTTGTATATATCAGATTAAGCAGTTCCCTATATTCTTAAAGAGATTTTGAGACAGAGGGAACCTGCAGAAAGAGGTATACAATTTTGTGGCAGGTCTCCTCGGCACATGTGGTAAATGGAGGGCTTTGGTGAAATGCTATATACATCAGACAAATTCCAACATCTCTCCTCATCATAGGCATTGCTGAGTATTCCAGGAAAGTATCATTTGTATGCACCGCATTTTGCATATAAGTATTAGAAACTCATGGGAAACCACATTTCAGGAAGAAATATGCATACAATCTGGAGCAATCAATCCAGCAAGTCAAATAGCCAAGTCTTGAATCATCTGGGGCCTTGCACTATTAATCTGAATGACCCTAAGTCCATTTCTTTCCTGGAATCGATTTGCTGATTATGAATCAAAAGTATTATTCTGCATTCATGTCATTGCAACAGAGATGAAATGAAGAGATTCAACAAACTGAAACAGATTTTTGCATATGCTTATATGCATTCATAGCTTTTAAAATCTCAGAAGTATTTTTCTATGGGTTCAGTGTTCACCCTGATACTGTAAGCACAACCACGTTATGAAATGGCTAAACTCCATTTTTAAAATGTCTCTTCCAGTGCATCCTGAAGATACAGCATACACATTATTTATAAAAGCTGGCCAAGCTTTTTCAGCTGTATCTTATTGGCTCTCTGTTCTTGGAACGTGAATTGAAATCCTGCAAAATCCATTTTGTAGCTAGTACAGATTATTACAATGAAAGTGTTTCTTCAGTGTGATCTTCACACTGGATTTTCACATTGTCGTTTATCTAATAGCAATATTTCATTTTAGATCAAAACCTGTATTCTGTACAGCACAAATCCAAACACACAGCAAAGAAAACTGTTCTGTTCTACAATTAACACTAATTCATGTGGAATATATAATTATATATGTTTAAGCAATGTTTAACTCTATAAGAATTACTTGCAATTAAGAATACTAAATACTAATGAACTGTGTACAATAGTTACAATTCACGTGATTCAGTGTCAATTTGAGGAACTTGTTCACAGGCAGAATTCATGCAAAAGAGATATGTATTTTTATGGATTATAAAATAATATTAATTATTAAGCCTTAATCTTATTAATATACCTAGGCATACCATTGTATCTGAATATGACCAACAACTTAGATGCTTTCCAGAGTGAATCAGAGGGCATAAATGTATGCCGTATAAAGAAAAAAGAAAATTAATCCTCATAGAATGCACTATTTTAATTTGCAAAACATTTAAATATTTTATTTTCATATAAAAACATGCATATTATGTACATTTTTATTATCCCCCTTTACATCTGAAATTCTTTTTTCAAAAAATATGATGGCAAAAGGCAGTGGACATGCGCTTGTCAGACAGCATATTAATAATTGTTAAAGTTTTGGAATAGTCAATTCCCCAAAATGGGCAACTCAGCTGCTCTGAAATCGACTGATACTAGTGCTGTGTTGGAGTTCAAAACCTGTTTATTGGAAATCGGTTTCAATAAAATCTGAAGAACTTATTTCAAGTGTATTTTGGATAAAGCGCCTAGAAGAAATCTCTAATAAATTCAAAGGGACTTGCTTCTTGGCCCATGTGGTTAAGTTCAATTCTAAGTGCCAATATATTTGTTTTGAAGATCCCACTGTCGGCCTATTGAGAAACACTAGTGACCACTGAAGATGGTCATTTAAGAATTGATTCAACAGAAAAAGGTAACGGTTCATTTGTGGTTAATTTTGTCACAACTTGTTTAGTCTCCAGAAAGTCTTTTGCATATCTGTCGATGCTGAATTTGTATTTTGGGTTTTCTCTGAAGGTACACTCTCTGTATTTCTTGGATGCCTCATCAAAAGTGGTTTTTAACTCTGATCCCGCTTTGCTCTGAAGCGTCTGTTGGAATAATGAATGGAAAGGGCTATGTTTAGATGAAGGTGGCAGTAGCATATGCTGCTTGTTGCTTTCTTTGCCCATCTTGCTGAGAGACGGGTCCCGATGAACTATAGGATCTTTGCCAGAGATCTGTGGAAAGGTCCTCTTGGGAGATGAAAACGCTGATCTCTCAGGAGCCTCCCGAGAGATGTTTTGGAGCTCACTTTGAGGTGTCTCGCGTTCTTGAACATGAGGATGGTGGAAGGTGTTCTCATTTTTTGACACTGTGATCTCGTGTTCAGAGGTGGGAAAATCCTGGCCATGTGAAGCCTTATTGTCCCAAACTACTCCAGGTTTGAGAGACTGGACTGTGGTAGCGTTTAGAAGGCATTGCTGATAGAGAAGGGCATCACTGAGAGGGCCACACTTCGGCCACACCAAGAATCTAGAGGGTAAAGGATACTGCCGGTAGGTGGTGGCCACACTCAGATTTGATGAGATCAGTTCCATGTTCCCCGAGCCTGAATACTGCATAGTCAGATCTAAGCAGGTAGGCAGAAAACTGCAAAACTCCTTACTGGAAGCTTCAAGTTGATGAGGGTTAAAACTCTTGTATGAATTGTACTCGGGCCCATGTACCATGCGGTTTGGCAGGAAGAAGGCAGCAGCCTGGGTGGCTTCCATCATTTCTCGTTCCTTGTATTCCCGCTCAAGCATTATGTTCTCAAGTTCTTTGTCAGCAAAAGCCCGTCTTTTTCTCATTCTGTCACTGACGGGTGGTGGCAAGGACGAATTCCCTCCTAGGTAAGGTTCGGCTGGAATGGGACGATAACCTTGGAGGGGAGAAAATAATTGTTTTAATAATTAAAAAGTGTAAACAGTGCAAAATGACAAGAGAGCTAATGTGCGGTAAATAACATGGTCTCTCTCTGCATGATCACCGATGCCCTTGAAGATAATGTTTTATCATGCAGGGGTTCTCAACCTTGGCAACTTTAAGACTTGTGGACTTCAACTCCCAGAATTCCTCAGCCAGCCAAGCTGGCTGAGGAATTCTGGGAGTTGAAGTCCACAAGTCTTAAAGTTGCCAAGGTTGAGAACCCGTTTTATAGTATAGCACTTTGGTGCATACACACTGCTTTCTCATCCTCAACAGGTTAACTTCAGAGATTGTGTAAATGTGAGAAACAAGAACCTGAATGATCTCTCTTTATCCTACCTCCCAGTTGACACCTAAAGCAAAACCTGTAATCACCTGCCAAGATTTATGATCACTCTTTGCATCAGACGTTTAGGCATCTATTTATAGATGTACAAGTTGTCCTTCTGAGAAGATGCAGAAAAAGTGCAAGGAACATAGTGCTTTTTACCTCCAACTACTAATTACTTTCACTATATCCAAAGTCACATTAAACACCATAGTAATAATTAGCTCATAAATCAGTTTTCACACCCCCATTTTACTACATTTAACATTTCTTTATTATGACACTTATAATATAATTTTGAAAGATCTCTATACCTACAACTGGTGCATTCCTATTCTCTAAAGGTAGACAGAGGTAAAGAAAAAAAATCCAAGCAGTACTAGAAGAAAAGAGAAAGAAAGTTAAGACAAATCAGAAAAGGCAGCATGAGGCATAAGAATGTTTCTACTCCTACAAGTATCCTCTCAAGAATGTAAAAACTGAACCAAAAGAAAAAGAAGAAATATAAAGAAATCACTCTGTATAGTTAGATGACAATCCTATTTCTTTTAGCTGGAAAAAAAAAGCGTAAGTAAAAGCAACGGATCTTACTCCCCAAAATTATGGTATTTACAGCTCTGACTTATATTTCACATATTCCAAATAAATTTATCAACCACAGCCACAAATTCAAAAAAACATAGGATTCTTATGGCATACAGTATAAAAATAGAGGTTGGGATCCGTTTTTCAAATCATTTTGAGTAAATGGTGCCGAGTTAAAAACAATATTTTGAATTTCCAAGATATCTTGAAAACTCAAAAAAGCAACTAGTCTGAAGACTTTAAGAAGCTCATTCCTTACATATTCTGAATTTTATTCCTTGTGGTCAATATGCTTGTGGTCAATACAGCACTAATACCATCTCTTCCATAACATCACTAATGATCATTCTCTTTAAGATATCTTCAGTGTCAACTCATAAACCTAAAAATTGAATTGTCCTTCAAATCTGTCTGCATCTTAGTATTTTCTGGTGATTAGAAAAAAGCAAAGATTTTTTTTAAAAAAAATCATTTCATACCCATGTGGTACTATGTTACCAATACTGGGGGGAAAGTGTGAAGAAAAACTGGGAATATTCCTATAGCATGCCCTACAACTCTTGATTAATATCCACTAATCATGAGATGTGCAACTCAAGTATTTATTTGCTTAGAAATAAGTACTGCTTGTCATCTTGACAAAGAATGAAAACTTTTCACAACAGCAAATCTATGAAATCTCAAAGATTTTGACTAGATCAGATATCTATTTTGGAAGAAGGCAAGGGCAAACAACTTCCATATTATTGTTGAGAAAAATAAGGACAGATAAATGAACTCACCAGGAATCAAAGTCAACTCATGGGAAACTTTAATAAAGGAATTTGTAAGGTTCAGTTTACTACAACAGAACAGTTCTATAATGGACATTACTTCTCAGATATAGTATATACCTTATTGAGTTCAGCAAGACATAATCCCAAATAAGATTATTTAGGATCGTTGCAGGGGAGAATTTCATGTTATACACAGATTTCCACAGGCCCATTAAGAATAATTGCTCAAAAACATGAATAATTTAATGGGATTTTCACCCAAATAAAACATTTGTATATGGTATAAAGCTACAATGCAAGATGTCACTAACTTGAATAGAAATGGATTTTCTACTACTAATTACTAAATTACTAATTGTCAACACTACAAGAATTGAATCAGAGACTTTAGATTTATTAAAATAATATCAAATGCTAAAGATAATAACTAATAGAATTACTGTACTTAGGAAGTAAAAGAACTCCACTATTAATGCTTTCAAAAAGGTAATACTATTCAATTAAAAATTAACTATTTTAATCTATAATTTTCCTAAGACACAAGCTTATATATGCTTTTGTCACAGAAATATTAATTTAACTCCTCAAAATATCACGTTTTAATAAACAATTATTTGAATACAAGTTGAGGCAAAATGAAGAGAAAGTTCAATTTGCAGGAAATTATCTTATTGAAATCTGTTTGGAATTAAGGAGAAGTTGTTCACTGCAACGACTCTATACTTTATTTTCCTAATTTAATCTGACTATTCTTTTCAAGAGATGGAAAGGTATTTCCATATGATATTAGCTATTTTTTAAAATCTTCAAATAACAAGTATGTAGACTCTGTATTTCTTTTTTGCATAATCTAATCTGGCCCTTATCATAGTTGCCAGTAATTCAGTTACTGGCTATAACACTGTCATCAATTCGTTTCTATGAAAGCCTCTTCTATTTTTTTTCTGACCGAATTAAAGTGTACAAATCACAGTCTAATTAAGAAGTTTTTGTTCAAAGGCCACTGAGATTTGTGGTGGATTAGGGTCAAATTGTTTGACTAATTTTCTTAGTTTTTTATTACAAACTGAAAGGGGTAAAACGTTCATATATTAACAAACAAAACAAAAATAATTCCTAAGATATATAAAGACAGGCAACTTTAAAGTGCTAAAAATTGTTACCTTCTAAAATGCTTTTAGCCAGCAAACTAGGTGTCCGAACATGTCTCTGGTACACTGTTCTGCGCTCAAAATTAGCCTGTTTCCCTGTATGTCCCTTCTTGTCCTAATAGAGAAACAATGGGGGGGGGGGAGAAGTGAGAAAAAAATTCATAAATTATGTATATTCTAATTATTCCCAGCAGCATCAATTTCTGAGATTGCAGTTTGGAAAAAAAAAAAGGCACTACTCTTCATACTCCCTGTATTTAGCGACTGGGGTTTCACAACATTTTTAAACCAATTTTGCAGCTGCATTCATACCTCTTCATAAGTTAGTGCCTTGTATTTGTCCATTTGACTACAGTTCAATGTATTGTGCAAACTCAGAAAATGGGTTAACTAACCAGGTTAAACATCTTCTAATATTAATGGAATTCCTTCTATATCAGATATCTTCCTATGACTCTAAATACATTAGGAATTTTACTTCTAAACAATTGGCTCAAAATGTATTGTATAGTTTTATCCTGTGCTCCCAATATAGGCAGTTGCCAATACCAACAGGAGGCAAATGCTTAATTCTTTCCATTAAATCAAATATATTAAATATCTTTAGCTTTGGCTAGAATATGCAAAATGCACTTTAATTAGGAATGATCCCAGAAGAAATTGCCAAAATGCATGCCACTACTATGCTGTTGAAAAAGAAAAATGCATTTTCTAACATATTTGCTACTACTTGTTTAAAAGAATTCTTTTAACCAAAACTCTTGATCAAAATTAAAATTGACTTTATATCCGGTTGAAATCTATATGTGTTTTCTTTTTAAAAACCCTTAGCTTCTGATATGCTAGGAGTCTTAATCCTGAGGAAATAATAGAAAGAAAAGACTGTCTGGGGAAATGTCAATTTGGGTATATTTGTTACAGTCTGGATTCAATTTGTTCCCATGGCGAATTGAAGACCTTATATTAAATGCTTTCAGGAAAGCCCTGAAAACAGGTAAATCGGAAGAGAGATTGCAACTAAAGCTGAGAACAAATTCCATTTTCCACCCACACACTTCCACAAAAATCCAAATTAAAACACTTGGGTCGAAGCTAAATCAGTGTTAAGAGTAGGCCAGTTTGTAGCCAGTTTAAATCCAAGCAGTCTGTCAAGGCCTGCAAAGGATAAGGGTCCACATCCAAATAAATAGCTATTATTATTTTTTTTTCCTTTGGGAAGCAAAAAGGCGTCCCAGTTCCATAAAGCGGTTACTGAAAGCGCTCTGTTTCCCAGAGGATTCCCCGTCCCGACCGCAGCTCCCCGCACCGTCCGGGGGGGGGGCGCCCCGGGGGGGGTCATTGGGGGACTCCTGCCCCTCCATCAAAAAGGAGACCGGTTCGAATCCGCGGTCGCCGCCCCCACAGGGCCCACCGACGCCTTTTCCTCGGAAGATCAGCTCCGCCGGCCTCGAGCCCGGCCAAGGTCTCCGGGCGGCCGAGGATCCCCGGGACCAAGCGACGCGCAAAACCTCCGCGCCTTAAAGGCTGTTGCCCTTAGGGCCAGCGTAGCATGCGCGCTGCCCTTTAAGGAAAGGCTCCGCCTCCCGGGCCGGGTCCTTTGTGCGGAGGGAAAACAAGGGCAGGAGAGGATGGGGACGACGGGGGAGCCTCACCCGGACGGCGGAGGGCGGAACCCGCCCGGGGCCCCCAAGAAGAGCCTCTCCCCCAGGGACGGGAGGCCGGGCCAGGCGGGCACCTACCTCGGTGGCCTGCTGCCTGCGAAGCGCCACCTGGGCGGCCATGACGCGCTGCCGCTCCACCACCAGCAGGCAGTTGGCACACTGGCAGTCCCGCCACCGGCAGAAGCGCTTGTGGCCTTTCAGGCAGGACACCACGCCGTGGTTGCGGCAGCGCGCGCACTTGGGTGTGCGGCTAAGCTTGCGGACCGGCTGCTCCCCGCCGCCTACGCCTCTCTCCTCCGCCGCCGGCGACGGCGAGACAAGCTGCGCCTGCGGCAGCCCAGGCAGCCGGAGAAGGTCGCCCGCTGCCCCGGCGTCGCCTTCGTCTTCTTCGCCCTCCTCCTCGTCGTCGTCGTCCTGGTGGTCGTCTTCCTCCTCGTCGTCTCCGGCGGACTGTAGCGAGGGCGCGCGGGGCGCCGCCGGCGACGGCCGCTCGAGCTGATCCGGCTCTTCCAGGCTCTCCACGTCGATCTCCCAGGCGTCGGCGGCGACGGGGCCCACCTGCTGCCCCTCAGCCATGGCTCGCGCCGCGCGGCTCCCGCCTTCTCCTCCAGCTCGCTTCTTCCTGCACGAGAGAGAGGGAGAAGGGAGAGAAAAGAGAAGCGGCGGGCCGCGGCGCCCTCGGATTAGAGCCGAGATCTGGCCTGGCTGCCCCCCTCCCGCCCATCTCCAGCTGCCTGCCTTCCCTTTCCCCCCGCCCCCGCCAGACCCTCGGCGAGCGAGAGATTGACGAGGCTGCTTTGCCGAGACCCGTCGGGGGTGGAAATCGACAAGGGCCGCTGCTGAATAAGTATCCGCCGAGAGTTGGGGGTAACCCACGGCAGTTCTCGGGGACTTAACCCGGAGGAAGGGTCTCCTCGGGGAGGGGGGGAGAAAGGCGTGAAGGGGGGAGACGGGAGGTTCTTCCGTGGCTTCCCTGCCCTGCGTGCACAAATTGTCCCCACACCTCGAAGGTGGGTTTTCGAGTCTTTCGCGCAGCCGCCGGCCGTCGTCCCCCCCAGCCCACCCCACCCACCTCCCCGCACCCCAGCAGCGCTCGAGGCCCGAACGCCTCGGAGGCTTCAAATAAAAATGTGACGCGCCTTCTCAACTCGCTTCCCGCCCCAGATAGAAAGGCGGGTGGTGCCTTGGATTTGCAACACCTACCATCCCAAATTAGGACAGCGATGGGAATTGTAGACAGATAAACGTTCAGAAGATATAGCGGGGTTGGGTAAAGCTTGGCAGGTGTTTAGAAAGGCTTCCCGGCTGCAAACACCACGCTTCTGTCTTGCTCACCTCCACCCTTATTGCCCAAGAAGGTTTCCTGCGCCTTCAAGGAGTAAAGCCAGATAAACGCAGGCGGGGGGCGGAGGAGTCACAGTTGGGTTTACTTGGCATTTTTAAAAGAGGTGTTCCCTTTTATTTTTTACGGCCATCTAATTCATTTTATTAATGAATTATGTTTATTAAATAGGGTTTAGTGAATCAACCATAACTCCGCTGGGGGCACAAAGCTCGTTAGAAACCTCATTATAGCTTAGATGTGGTACACAGCACCCACCCACCATCCTCATTGCATTTGTTTCTCCATCTCTGAGGTAATAAAGAAGCTTCGTAGAATGTGGGTCACCAAGGTATGTTCTACTCTGCTATCAAATAGAGGGAAGGAAAGGATGATGCACAATTTTAAGATGATAAGATCAGAGTAGTCTTTAGTGGAAAGTAGAAAGTCTCTCCCCATTAACCAGAAAAGATTGCAGTCAGATTCATGTCTCTCTGTGAATTCAGGAGAGTTTAGAGCCTTACTGTCTCCCCCTTGTGAAAAAGGTCAGCATTCACACATCATACACCTCTGCAGTGTGTATTTGCTTTCCTTGACATGTGAAGGCATTTATTGTGGTTTAATGTTATGCAGGAATCTAGGCCATATAATGTAGCTTAATCATGGATTATTGAATTAAACATAATGGCCAGTTTCGTGCAAGGCATTCAACAGAAAGTAAAAGCAAACAAATAAAAAAAAACGCTTTAGTAGGATGTGTGAATTGGTGTTTCCTTACTCTATCGAAGAACACTTTTTAGCAACAGAGAAATCTGTATCAACATGAAAGCAATATAAAATTGGTCTTCATTGCAGTTTTTTAGCGTATTAATTGGATGATACTATAAATTGCCAGAGATTAAGAAATGTCCTAAGCCCAACATGCAAGCTGTGTGTGTGTGTGTGTGTGTGTGTGTGTGTGTGTGTGTGTGAGAGAGAGAGAGAGAGAGAGAGAGAGAGAGAGAGAGAGAGATCTGCATCTAAAAATTCAGAACCTAGACTTAACATTGTCTTAATTTGACTTAAAGAGACCATTCTGACATGCTAGGGTCATTATTACATATTCTCCTTGTTTCCATTATATCTCTCATATTAAAAAATCATCTTTGGATATAATTTTCTTAGTCCCTACACCAAGAGGAAGGTCTCCCTTTCCTTAAAAATGCACTTCAGAAAAATAGCAAATACTAAATTGTCTATTTATAGCTCCAATCCTACACATATCCTGGTTATCTAGAGATATAATTTTCTGGAAGTATAACCCTATGGCTGTTTATGGTTGAAGGTTTCCCTGCATACAAGTACAAATGAAGTAAATGAAAATAAATTTGATTAGGAACATGAGTAAATATCGCAATAACTCTGGTTTGATGACTGGTTTTCACCACACACAAAGTGGTGCAAACAGGCTATATTATGGCTTTGGGAAATTTGAGTCTAACTAATGCATCTATGATTTGTTGGTTGGTGAATAACTTTGGCATCTAACCTCATGTATTCCAGTGTATATCAGTATAGAAACATGAATTATAAAGGAGAATGGATTTAGCCAAAGACATAATTCATCTTTATTTCTTAGGTTACATATAAGTGTAAACTATACCCAATACCTTCCTCAGAGCAAAACTACTTTAGCCAGAGGTTTATGTCTGGAGCCTGACCTTCATTGTTTTCTTTCAACCACTGAAAGGTTTTTTTGTGCCATGTTTCCAGTCTAAAGATCGACTGACACACACATACACACACCCTGCTTCTCTCTTCAAAAGAGATTGCTTGGGTCACTGAATGCAGCACAAGGGGGTGTCAGGGAAGTTCTGTGGATGTGGACAGACAAGTTGTTTGCATGGAAAATAGACACATGCAACTAGAAAACACCTTTTGTGCCTTGCCGTTTGGAACCAGGCTTGACAGGAGTTGTAATCCAACCGGTCAAGCTGGCTGAATGCATGGCTTATCCTTGCCCAGCCTTATCTGCCTGTAAGGACCTTCCACATTTGCAAAACCGCTACATATAACCGAGGGTAAGCGCCCTGCATTAAGTACTGCCTTAATGCTAAAAGTAAAGTTAAAAGTTCGACTCTGGGCAATCGAGTGCTGATCTTTTCCTTTGGCGTTTTAATGCTGGCCCTAAATGCAAAGAAGTCCCAAAGCGAGTAGAATTCACCGGCGTTCTTTCAGCGGACTCCGGCTTTCTTCCGCCGCCTTCGCGATACCTTAAGACGCGCGACCCAGAAGAAGAGACCGCTGTCCCCCCCCCTCCCGCCTGCAAGGTGGCCACCCAAGACAGCCCAAGTGAGGGGGGGAAGGGGGGCCTGCTTTTCCATCCCTGCTTCGCGCAACCCCCCCCCCCNCCCCCCCCCCCACGGGCTCCCCCAGCCCTAGCCGACCTCTGGAGACTTACCACAACCAAGCGTCCGAGGGGGCTGCAGAGGCGCGCAATAATGGCATTCGGTCCCGGCGAAGGCGGAGCGCGCCGAGACACGGCTACAGGCGAAGTCGCTTCAGCCCGCCCAAAGCCTCGCCACGTCTCCAGCCACGTCCCCTGGAGCCCTGGATCGGGGCGATTCCTCTCGAGGGGACCCACCGAAACGCTCCAACCCCCCGCAGACGCGTAGACGAAGCAAAGCTCGCCAGCGGGCAGCAACCACACCGCCTGCCTGTTTCTAGACTCTGGACGTCCCTCCCTATATTATCGGTCCCAGGACGCGGACACCCGCCCGATCGACCCACCAATTGGTGAGTGGTCGGGCCCAAGGCGCGCCGATTGGCTGCGAGGGAATTCTAGTTGCCCCGCCCTCTTCGACGCTCCGCCCCTTCGGAGGTTCTTGCCAGCTTCTCGGCAGCTGTTGTTTTTTTTTGTTTTTTTTCCGTCCGCTTGGCGAGATCACCTTTTATTTACCAGCCTCGGCAGCAAAATGAGTTATGCGTAAAAGGCTCTGTTGGTAACCCAAGACTGAAAAAGAAAGTCGCCAACAGCTACGAAAGCAGAGCTGCGAGTATAAATATAGTTGCGGAGGCAAGCGTGCAGGTCCTTGGGAGTCAAAAAAAAAAAAAAAAAAAAGCAAAATGTATCTTCCCTAATCATAAATCCTCCAGAGCGGGTCTAAATTCCCCCGAAAATCAGTTCTGATATCGCCGAAGGACCTAAAGAGGATTCTTTAACATTTCCGATTATTCTGCAATTATAAAATTCAGAAATAATAAGATTACATTCAATATCTTATTGCAACAAATCCATTTGTTTTCCTTTGGTAAAAAAAGATGCTCTTGGATATACTTAAATCTCACTAAACCTAATTCTTATTAAATTATCCTTACTTTCCATCGTCCTTAAATTATTAGCCGCAACTGAAATACCCTTCAAGTTAGGTGAAATTTAAGGGCAAATAACAGAAATTGTGTTTCCGCTAAAACTCGCTCATACAAGTGGCACGGAAAAAAACGACTGTGTTAAACGGAACTTAATCCCCAGGGGAATCCACTCGTTCTGCATGCCACCCAAGATTTACTGTGACGACAGTAAGAATTTATGAAAGAAAATGGCCTGCTGTGTCCCTTTTCACTTTTCTTGTTACTTTAAGGATTTTTAATTAATATTTCGTTTAGCAAACAAGTGACCGATTTCAAGTGTGTTAAATTTCCGTCCATCAGTTCGCCTTCATAGAAGAGATGAGACTTTGGAAGAAAACCGCCTCATTCTGGCTGCTTGGTGAGGTAAAGGAGGAATTGCGTTAATCGAGTCATTTAGATGAAATCAACCTTGCCAAGAGTTGTATGAACAAATTATACATAAAATAGTCTTATGACAAAATAAAATTATGTTTTCTATCAGCAAAATTATAGTCTTTTTTTCCAGACAGTTTTATTCCCACAACACATGATTTGTTTATATTCCTTTATGCACTTATGTCTATTTTTCTGGGGTCATATATACATGCAAACAAACGCCAGGAAAACTTCGCCTAAACTCAGCTACTCGATATAATCTTTCTAGTTTATGGAACAAACATTTTCCGATCGGTATGTTAACTGCGCAGTTGACCCTCTGGATAGGCTTGTGCGTTGAGATCTTTTAATATACCTTTTTCTGTTAACAGTGTCAACAGGAGGCGAGGTTCGTTTTTCTCCGGTATAAACCACGCGTGTATAGTTTTTGCTACAATCTGCCCTAGGCGACTATGCAAGACTCGGGCTAGTGAAAACCCGTTTTAAAAAA